GGCAAACAGTGAGGGGCAGGCTTTATTGTGAGGAGGGGCAGATGTGGACCCAGCTGAAGGCCCAGAGGTTGGACGGTGGGCAAGGGGCCCTGGACCAGACCCCTCCTCACGCCCTCCCCGATCCATGCCTAGATCCCGGCCAGCAAGGAGTTGAAATCACAGAAGAACAAGTTTGTGAGTGTCCAGGCGGCCTTTGGGAATGCCCCGCCAGTGGAGAAGGTGGTGCTAGTCAGCTTTCAGAGCGGGTATCTCTTCATCCAGACAGACAAGACCATCTACACCCCAGGCTCCACAGGTAAGGGGCTGGTGGGTGGCTCAGAGGGCTGGGGCTAGGTCATTGGGAGGGGCAGGGCCTCACTGAGCTGTCCCTTTCTCTCCTGCCACCTCCCAGTCCTCTATCGGATCTTCACTGTGGACCACGAGCTGTTGCCTGCGAACCAGAAGGTTATCGTCAGCATTGAGGTACCAGGCAGCCGGGGCCCCAGACACACTTGGGGCAGAGACTCAAGGAGAGACTGAGAGTTTGAGATAGAGAAAGAGATACTAGGAAAGACCTTAAAGCAAAGAACTATATAGAGAGGCACAAACACGGAGGCCTAGAGATGGGCGGGGACGCAGGGAGCCAGCATGGGGCAATGCTTGCACCTGTGAATTCCACCTCCAGATAAACCCCTGGTCCCGGTGACTCTGGACAAGTCACTCACCTTCCTGAGCCTAAGTTTTCTCATGTGAAGAGTGGAGTAGTTACATGATGCTGGGTGGGAGTCTGTTCTGCCTACTGAGCCAGGAGGCGCCTGTGAACCCCTGAGTCAGGTCCAGCCCCTCCTCTGCTCACAGCCCTCCAGGACTCCTCCCTCCCTCCAGATAAAAGCTCAAGTCCTCCCAGTGACCTACAAGGCCCTGAGTGGCCTCCCCTGTCCCCTTCCCGCCCTCATCTCCTCGCTCTCTTTCCCTCACTCACTCTTCTCCAGCCACACAGGCCTCCTCTCTGTCCCTCAGACACACGAAGCAGCGTTCTGTCCAGGGCCTTTGCACTGGTTGTTCCTTCTGCCCAGAAAACAATCTTCCTCCAAATATGCACACTACTGGCCCCTTATCTCCTTCAAGACTTTGCTCAGATGTCACCAATGCCCCAATTTCACATGAGGCCTTTCTGAGCTCCTGTAAATTTGCAAGCCTCTCCCATTCACACATGCACTCCACTCTTTCTTCCTGCCATCTTTTTGGCATCCTGTAAATTGGATTTACTTATTTAACTAGAGGCCTAGTTAAATTTGTGCACGGGTAGGGTCCATAGGCCTGATTGGCGATCAGGGCCAATCAGGTCTACCTTCCCCGGCTGCCAGCCAGGGCCTTCCTTCATTCCATGCTGCCTCCTGGTGGTCAGTGCACGTCATAGCGAGCAGTCAAACTCCCAAGGGGACAATTTGCATACTAGCCTTTATTATATAGGATAATTGCCCCCTCCACCTACCTCTGTAGAACCTCAATTCCCTACAGGAAGGAGTTTTTATCTGTTTGTTCAGGG